ACAAAATTGTTCAGTTGCATTTTCCATCTATATTTGCTTTTGGTGATAAGACATCTGGACTAGCAATGATGTCACTTTGTCACAACATTCATTGGAGATCCTTATATTGGTGGCATCTTCTCTGACTCAGCATTTTTCTTCTGGAATAGAGCCTAATACAGTATCTGCCTGTTTGTTCCTGTAGAGTTGGGCACAAATAGTTTTCACACAAAATGCTCCAATGCAGCAGCATCTGCAGCAGCAGATGGTACTATATTCAGTCTGAGTTCAGCAGAAGCCCTTAAAACATTTTCATCCAATTGCTGGAAAACCTTCCAGCGCAAAAGTAGTTTCATAACAAGCAAAGATATATAAACTTGGTAGTGCTACTATCCTCTCTGCCCCTTAAAAGTATAATAAACAGATTCAGGGAATTTGCTCAAATTGCAGTGTTGAGGAGAAGAGGCCTTATAACTAGAAGTAAAAAAGGATTAGCCAGGGCAGTATGTGAAGCTTTTCCAACAAATATAAATTGGTCTAAGTTTGGGATGGTAAGCAAAAGGAAGATGACATTTTTTTCTGCTGGAATTGCCAATATTGTAACTTAATGTATGGAACTGTGCAGATGCTCAGTTGCTTACTTTTGAACTTTCTACTGTAGGTCCCATAAAAAACTATCCACATTTTTGTTCTGGGAAACTCTTCCTCTGTACCTCTGTTGTAGGACTAACTTGCTTTTGGAAGTAATAAAGGGTTTTATTTTGTTCTACTAAAACTCGCTCTGTGCCTGTTTTTGCGATCCCCACCAGCAAACCTGGCTTTAGGGCCTCTTCTCCAGCAAAAACAATGTAGGATGTTTGTCGGAGTTGATGGGAAGGGACATCCAGGTTTCACCTGGGGAAACCATCAGTTATATGAAGTAGCATTCTAATATCATCTGTATCTCATATGTTTCTTGGTGGAGCTAGTGAATCAGTGACACGTTTGCTCCCCATGCTGCAGTCACATGTGCTGTTGTTGCATGCAAACATTTTAAAAATCTTTTCAGCTTTTGTAAGTTATTGTTAAGTATATATTGATGAAAATAATTCATCTGCAGAGTAATTTATTTTCAGTTTTAAAAAAACTGGATTTATTGCAAGTAATGTAATCTCTTGAGGGCGATCCTACTCCAAATCTGCTCCTGTCCTTCCCTTAAAGAAATAAAACTGCTTTTCCTGCATGTAATCTTGTAGAAGGCCATGTTCAGAGTTCCTAACTAATTTTAATTAAGACTGTTCCAGAGGTGTCAGTTATGAAGAAGCATTGCTGGGAGATTTTCCTTCACCTATTGTACTTGACATCTTAACAATTGCTCACCCAATCCAATCCTGCATCAAACTGTACAGCATAAATTCTGATAAATCTGAGGCATGAATATTTGCTGTACAATTATAAATGAGGGACTTTCTGTTGACTTTCCAGGAATGCTTGTGGTCATATTGTGTGTTGTTCTCCTGCCCTCTAACACTGTTGTGGCCATAATGATTGTGAACTATGCCTCATCATGCTTACTTGCATAAAGAAGACAAGCTATAAAACCCTAATCTCTTTTATTGCTTAGTTGCTATATGAGAAGAGTTTGAATTTTCTCCACTCAACTCCCCTTCCTTCTATCTCCAAAACCCTTCATTTTCTTCCATATACCTGCTCATTTATCTGGTTGCTTCTGCTCCAGCAAGGACAGTAGGATGTTATCCATTTTCTTTTCTCTCTTCCCCCAGAAGCAAGGGAAGTTTGATATGGCAATAATCTGGCTGCAGAAATCTCAGGAAATGCAGTTTTCCTTGGAGTTGTCTTGCAGGGGAAAGTATTGGTGGGATCAGACCTTATCCGGAATTGGTCTGAGTGATGGGCCTCCCCCTAGTTTCACACCGGACCAGTTTGCAGCATTTTAAAAATCGAAAGTGGAGGCCATTCGCCGGGACCTTTCTCCTTTTTAGAATACAGTGAGTCGAACAGAGATGTCCAGCGCTCCGTCTTGCCCGGTGATTTTTAACTCCTTTCAGCCGGTTACACCTGACTCTGTGGCCAGGGCGCTTGACCGCTGTCGTGCCACCACCTCCTCCTTGGACCCTTGCCCGCCCTGGCTAATCAAAGCAGCCAGGCCTTCAACAACGGAATGGGCCACTGTAATAATTAATGAGTCTTTCCTTGAGGGCAGGTTTCCTTCTGCTCTCAAGGACACACTCATTAGGCCCATTAGGAAGAAACCTAGTTTGACGGCGGACGAAATTGGCAACTATAGGCCCGTCGCCAATGTTTCTTAAGCAAGGTGGTAGAGAGGGTGGTGGCTGATCAGCTTCAGGCGCTCTTGGATGAAACAGAAGCCCTGGATCCATTTCAGTCGGGCTTCAGGCTGCGCCACGGTACAGAAACGGCATTGGT